ACCATATTGGCTGGGCTGGTCTCAAACTCCTGACTTCAAATGATCCGCCCACCTCGGCCTCCCAAAGTGCTGGGATTACAGGCGTGAGCCACCATGCCCGGCAAGAATGGGATTCTTTATATGTGGCAGATGCATGCTCTTGACAGTGACTAATATTCCTAAGTAAGATTAATTTACCAAGAGAAAAGATTAGGGAGGAACATGCTTCTTATAACTCCTAGGACATAATGGAGAAAACTTCCATAATCCTTACCAAACTGACTTACATGTCGGTGAAGAGAGCTGGAGAGTCAGGCCGGTGGGACTGTACATCTTGCATAGCATTCCATTCATTGACTGAGGATTGATCTGAGTTGATATGGCTCTCATAATAACTCACCCAGGTGAGAAACAGGCTGCCTGGGTAGTAGTTATGCACTCTGGCGACTTCACAAGCCTTGTGTAAGCTCTGTAGTGCAGACCTGAAAGATATGCTGGGAAATGAGCACCATAGAACTGTGGGGTGCCAAAGGCCAATAACCTGTGTAACCTAAACTCTTCTAATTTTTAATTTCTATAGAATTTATCCTCTGGAGAATCTACTCCCTAAAATTCAAGATTCTCCAATTCTGATTATACCATATTATCTATCCACAGCAATGAAAAAGACATTTGCTGGAAGAGATGATGCATCATTAAGATAGGGAGAAGATGGGGAAGGACAGCTGACAACTTACCAGTGAAAAATAGGTCTAGGTACCTATGGAGCACCTGATCCTATACTACAGTTGGAACCATGCAGTGACTGCTGTATCATTAGAAAACTAAAGCTCTAAATAATTTACCATATAAAGATTTGTTTTCCTCAGCACAGGATGTTACAGCATACATTTTCTGTAATTCTTAAGAGGTTTCGCAAAGATCACATAGATAGATGTCCCTAAGCCTTGAGGACATGTCCTATGTCTTTTAATGTCCAGGAAATATTGATCTATTAGTATTTATTATTCTTGCTGCCTTAGTATCCTAGTCTCTTTAAATCCATGAGCTACTTTCTAAGAACAGATCTGATTATTCTTTTTTGCTGAGACAGTGTCTCCTTCTGTTGCCCAGGCTGGAGTGCAGTGGCATGCTCTGTGCTCACTGCAACTTCCACCTCCTGGGTTCAAGCGATTCTCATGCCTCAGCCTCCCAAGTACTAGCTGGGATTACAGGCACATGCCACTATGCCAGGCTAATTTTTGTATTTTTAGTAGAGATGGGTTTTTGCCATGTTAGTCAGGCTGGTCTTGAACTCCTAGCCTCAAGAGATCTGCCCATCTTGGCCTCTGAAAATGCTGGGATTACAGGCATGAGCCACCCCACCTGGCCTAGCTCTGGTAATTCTCAGACTAATTAAACCTTCTGACTCTGAACTCAGGAGCCCAAGAAGAGTAAACAAACTGGAAAGTATGTTTGTCGTTATATATGTGGGAAAAGCTTAAGCTAGAATGCTAGGAAGTAAGTTATAAAAGAGCAAGAATCTTTCTATATTTTGTTTACCTAAGTGACTAAAAGAATACCTACTTCATAGGTGAAGTTTAATTAGTATTTGTTGAGTGAAATGTCTTATTAGCTATAAAGTAATATCTAAGAAAAAAAGACATTTATGGCCAGGCACGGTGGCTCATGCCTATAATCTCAGCACTTTGGGAGGCCAAGGAGCGTGGATCACTTGAGGTCTAGAGATCGAGATCAGACTGGTTAACATTGCGAAACCCTGTCTCTACTAAAAATACAAGAATTATCCAGGCACGGTGGCACATGCCTGTAGTCCCAGGTACTTGGGAGGCTGAGGCGGGAGAATTGCTTGAACCTGGGAGACAGAGGCTGCAGTTAGCTGAGATCATGCCATTGCACTCCAGCCTGGGTGACAGAGCAAGACTCTGTACCAAAAAAAAAAAAAAAAAAGTCTTTTTGTTTCCCCATAACAAAAGTGATCCATGCCCACTTTAGAAAATCAGGAACCTCAGAGAAAAGGCAGAAACATCCTGTAATCCTACCACCCTGAAATAATCACTCTTAAGGTTTTAGTGTACATCTTTCCAGTCTTTTTGTCTATGCATAGATGTATAATAAACAAAAATATGACCATATTCTCCATTCCACTTATAACTTGCTCTTTTGCTTTACAGCCTATCATCAACATTGTTCCATACCAAATATGTTCTAACTGGATTTTATTATTCATTTATTTACTTATTTTTTGAGATAGAGTCTCGCTCCATCACCCAGGCTGGAGTGCAATGGTGCCCTCTCGGCTCACCACAACCTCTGCCTCCCAGGTTCAAGCGATTCTCCTGCCTCAGCCTCCCAAGTAGCTCAGATTACAGATGGGTGCCACCATGCCTGGCTAATTTTTGTATTTTTAAGTAGAGGCGGGGTTTTACCATGTTGGTCAGGCTGGTCTCAAACCTCTGACCTTGTGATCCACCCTCCTCAGCCTCCCAAAGTGCTGGGATTACAGGCATGAGCCACTGCGCCAGGCTCCCACTGGATCATTTTTAATGGCTGCATAATATTTAACAATATAGATATACCATAATTCACTAATTCCTAATTTTCAATCATTTAGATTGTTCTTCTTTCTTTCTTTTTTTTTTTTTTTT